CTCCAGTCTACCCCAGGGGTGCGTGCACCCTCCCTGAGGCTCCAGTCTACCCCAGGGGTGCGTGCACCCTCGCTGAGGCTCCAGTCTACCCCAGGGGTGCGTGCACCCTCCCTGAGGCTCCAGTCTACCCCAGGGGTGCGTGCACCCTCGCTGAGGCTCCAGTCTACCCCAGGGGTGCGTGCACCCTCCCTGAGGCTCCAGTCTACCCCAGGGGTGCGTGCACCCTCCCTGAGGCTCCAGTCTACCCCAGGGGTGCGTGCACCCTCGCTGAGGGTCCAGTCTACCCCAGGGGGTGCGTGCACCCTCGCTGAGGCTCCAGTCTACCCCAGGGGTGCGTGCACCCTCGCTGAGGCTCCAGTGTACCCCAGGGGTGCGTGCACCCTCGCTGAGGCTCCAGTCTACCCCAAGGGGTGCGTGCACCCTCGCTGAGGCTCCAGTCTACCCCAGGGGTGCGTGCACCCTCCCTGAGGCTCCAGTCTACCCCAGGGGGTGCGTGCACCCTCCCTGAGGCTCCAGTCTACCCCACGGGGTGCGTGCACCCTCCCTGAGGCTCCAGTCTACCCCAGGGGGTGCGTGCACCCTCCCTGAGGCTCCAGTCTACCCCAGGGGTGCGTGCACCCTCCCTGAGGCTCCAGTCTACCCCAGGAGTTGCGTGCACCCTCCCTGAGGCTCCAGTCTACCTCAGGGGGTGCGTGCACCCTCCCTGAGGCTCCAGTCTCCCCCAGGGGGTGCGTGCACCCTCCCTGAGGCTCCAGTCTACCCCAGGGGTGCGTGCACCCTCCCTGAAGCTCCAGTCTCCCCGAGGGGGTGCCTGCACCCTCCCTGAGGCTCCAGTCTACCCCAGGGAGTGCGTGCACCCTCCCTGAGGCTCCAGTCTACCCCAGGGGGTGCGTGCACCCTCCCTGAGGCTCCAGTCTACCCCAGGGGGTGCGTGCACCCTCGCTGAGGCTCCAGTCTACCCCAGGGGGTGCGTGCACCCTCGCTGAGGCTCCAGTCTACCCCAGGGGGTGCGTGCACCCTCCTTGAGGATCCAGTCTACCCCAGGGGGTGCGTGCACCCTCCCTGAGGCTCCAGTCTACCCCAGGGGGTGCGTGCACCCTCCCTGAGGCTCCAGTCTACCCCAGGGGTGCGTGCACCCTCCCTGAGGCTCCAGTCTACCCCAGGGGTGCGTGCACCCTCCCTGAGGCTCCAGTCTACCCCAGGAGTTGCGTGCACCCTCCCTGAGGCTCCAGTCTACCCCAGGGGGGTGCGTGCACCCTCCCTGAGGCTCCAGTCTACCCCAGGGGGTGCGTGCACCCTCAGCTGCACAACCTTGTGGATTTTTTTCTGGGACACTGAAGAATTCTGGTATCAAAGAGAAAAATTAAATTGAGCATCTCATAATTTTTCTGCAACTCCCTTTAACCTTTTTTTTAAGGAGATATTAATTTGATATCGGGCATACTACCACAAATACAGAAAATTAAGCAAAATTCAAATAGAAATATACTCAGCATTATTATTATTATAATCAAAAAGAAGCGCTAAGCCACAAGGACTATACAGCGATATACTCAGCAACAAGGCCAACCTCCCTGAAATTCATCGTCTTTATCCTTCCTCTGTTCCTTGGTTTGGGAATTTCAGTACTTCTCTGCCATGAAGTTCATGCACTATATGTCGTGTGATTTCTTGATGTTATTTATTTTTATTGTTAAACAAAACTGGATACATTAGCAGTGTACTGCTACTCTACTCTACATGAGAGTTACGTCTTATAAAGATAGCTATTGTTATAATCATAACGAAGCGATAAACCCTTAAGGGTCATACAGCACTGCATAAAGCTGGCCTGGTGGCTTGGTGGCTAACACTGTCGCTTCACACGGCGAGTGTCCGGGTTCGATTCCCAGCCAGAGTAGAAACATTGGGCGTGTTTCTTTCCACCTGTTGTCTATGTTCCTCATCAGTAAAATGGGTACCTGGGTGTTAGTCGACTGGTGTGGGTCACATTCTGGGACACTGACCTAATTTGCCCGACATGCGGAGCATAACATAGGACTTTCTATATACGTAGTAGTATGCCACTGATGTCAGCTAGGACTGTATACCTTGTACACGTACTTGTAGTAAATAAAGATATTATTATTATTATTATGTTTCCTGTTATATTCCATCACACAGGCTGGGACTCATGCAGTGTTAAAATCTGTCACTGCAGTAGTGTCAGCCTAAGCTGGGATACTGCAGCAGTGTCAGCCTATGCTGGGAGACTGCAGTAGTATCAGCCTGAGCTGGGATACTGCAGTAGTGTCAGCCTAAGCTGGGAGACTGCAGTAGTATCAGCCTGAGCTGGGATACTGTAGTAGAGTCAGCCTAAGCTGGGAGTCTGCGGTAGTATCAGCCTGAGCTGGGAAACTGCAGTAGTGTCAGCCTAAGCTGGGAGACTTTAGTAGGGTAGTGAGGATATCGTCCAGTATTCCAGCAAGTAAGTAAGCAAGTTTATTCAGGTATACACAAATACAGTTACATAGATTATCATACATAGCAGCATATGTGTAGAGAACCTAGGATAACCCAAAAAAATCAGCTGCTACGGGAGATTCGGAGGATTCGTTCCGGAGTTGGATTTTTTAATTAAAAACAAATTGTATACATCAGAAGTGTGCTGTTACCCTTTTCTGTATGATAATTACACATTGGGAACATAAGCTAGCTATGTTGTAGTGAGCCAATGTAGTGATGAAAACTCTACGGGAATTGAAAACCTAGTTTTGTCAGTTTTATCTTGAATTTTCAGTTGGACTGAGTTGAGTTCCACTTCCTGGCTCTTTTGATGGTGTTGATCTACAGCTCTTGTACCTCTTAGTAGTGTGGATTTGCAGCTCGTGTACCTCTTAAGTGTTGATCTACAGTTCCTGTGCCTCTTTAATAGTGTTGATCTACAGTTCCTGTGCCTCTTACGAACACACAAATAACCTGCACATAGGAGAGAGGAACTTACGACGACGTTTCCGTCCGGCTTTGTAAATACTCCATGTCGGACCGAAACGACGTCGTAAGCTCTTCTTTCCTGTCCCCTCAGGAAGGTTCCTTGATGTTGGTGAAGAGCTCTTGATTTAGGGAATTGTATCTGTGCTCCATTTCCCCGAATTAAGCCTGAATGCCTTCCACATCCCTCCCCCCAGGTGCTGTATACTCCTACGGGTTTAGCGCTTCCCCTTGATTATAATAATAATAATTCTTTCCTATGTGCGGGTTATTTGTGTATTGTTCCAGTCACAGCATTGCGTCTTTTTATTATTTATCTCTTACGAATATTGATCTGCAGCTCCTAGGCCTTGTGAGAGGTGTTCCGTAGCTCGATCGCTAGCGCACTCAGCTCACACACTGAGGTCTGGAGTTTAAGTCTCCTCCGGTACGGCTGAAAAAACATTAGGGACGTGTTTCTATAAGACACCTGCCGCCCATGTTCACCCATCAGTATAAAATGAGTACCTGGGTGTTAGTTGACTGGTGTGGGTCGAATCTTGGGTCAAAACTGACCTAATTTGCCCGAAATGCACTGCATAACAAGGGGCAGTGAGAAGACTTGAGCTAGAGTTCGTCACGGCCACGCTAGCTGGAGATTCGTCTGTAAAAAACTTGCATTTGTGGTCACAGTGATGCCTATGCTAGGCTTTGTATATAGTAGTATGTCATTGATGTCAGCTAGGACTGTATACCTTGGACATGTACTTCTAGTAAATGAAATTATTATTATTATTATTATTATTATTATTATTAGAGTGTTCTAGGCTTGACTGTGTTGAGCTAAAATCTTTTGGCTTCTTGAAGGTGTTGATTTCCAGCTCGTTGACCTCTTGAAAGGGATGAGATATCTCCGAGGTCTTTTGAGGGAGCTGAGTTGTAATTCCTCTGCCTATTGAGAGTTTTGCAGTAGTAATGCTATGCCATCTCTTGCGTGCAGTGAGGTTCAGGCGGGTTATAGGATACAAGTTGTTAGGGTATAGGGAATACCTTACTGGGATCGAATACCAGTCTAGAAAACATCTTTGTTATTATTTTTGTTATTGGTCTCCACCCAACTCTCTACATCCACCGGTTCTTAAATCTAATCATTATTAACACGGGAAAGCGGTGAAGGTCTTGTCTTATCATCTCCATATAAACGCACACAATCGTTGTCTGAAACTTACGGATATATTCTTATTATTTTTTTTTATCAAAAGTTGGGTTAATATTAGGGTCAGATCCTGGCCTGGAGTTTACTTGGGGAGGGTTTCGGGGGTCAATGCCCCCGCGACTCGGTCTGAGACCAGGCCTCATGGTGGATCAGGGTCTGATCAACCAGGCTGTTACTGCTGGCCGCACGCAAGCTGACGTACGAACCACAGCCCGGTTGGTCAGGTACTTTAGGTGCCTGTCTAGTGCTTTCTTGAAGATAACCAGGGGTCTATTGGTAATCCCCCTTATGTATGCTGGGAAACAGTTGAACAGTCTTGGACCCCTGACACTTACTGTGTCTCTCAGTGTACTCATGACGCCCCTGCTTGTCACTGAGGGAATGTTGCACTACCTGTCGAGTTCTCTGCTTCCATAGGGAGTGATTTCCCAACTTTTGATCAAAGAAGTCAATTTGGCTTTTTTGGGTTATCCTATGTAATTTACACGTATGTTACTATGTATAATGATTGTACCTATGTATACCTATACCTAAATAAACTTAAGTTTGTTTAGACACAGGTACACATAGTACAATTATCATACATAGTGTAAATCACTTTGTCTGACTTTTTGGGTTATCCAGGTAATTTACACTATGTATGATAATTATACTTATGTGTACCCGTGCCTAAATAAAGTTCCGTACAAAGAGCACGTGTTATGGTGTGTGAAGATGATAAGCGAGTAACAACAAAAACCCACTTGTCAATATTAGATATATGAAGAGTATCATGGAGAACTCTGGGTATAGTTAGATCTTCTTTTATCTTGCCAACACCATTCCTTCCAGCACCTACACCGGTGCAACACTCTCTCTCTGCTGCGATTTTGTTAGTGTGGGAGGGACACTTATGGCACTTATTGTAGCTCTCAGCTGTGAGCGGACTGTCATGAAATAGTTAATCGTCAAGTCGTTTTCAGTTTCATATCGGTATGGCGGATCTATTTAAAAGTGCACTTGGCTACTTAGGAACCAATGGCGGCACGGCGGAAAATGACTTTGTGGGACAGCAGGTGGAAATCAACGGAATTCGTCTTCGTATAAAGAAGCTGATAGCAGAAGGTAGGAATCAACAAGGACACTGACAGAAAAAAAGTAAAAGTGCCTTTGTATTGACTAAGTAAACATATTTATTGTTTAGTTTGCTTCTCTCTTTAGGTCAGCCATATACACAGGTATTATGGTATGTGAAGTAATTTGTGTTATAAATTGAATACTTAAATGTTAAGGACCCCAATGGCAATAAGTCATTTTGTCTGACCTTTTTTGCGTTATCTCTAATTTATACATGTTACTATGTATGATAATTTGTGTAACTATTTATGTGTACCTGTACCTGAATAAACTTCTTTATAATCGCATCAAGGACCCCACTGGAAATAAGCCACTTTGACTTTTTCTTGTTATACTAAGTAATTTACACAGTTTAACTATGTATAATATCTGTACTTTTGTGTATCTGAACCTAAATAAACTTATCAAATCAATTTTATTTCCAAAAATTACTGGGTGTTAATTCAATTCTGGGATTATTACCATTATTATAATTATTAATATAAGATTACATCTCTTAGATAAGGTTTATGACTCTTACTTGGTGAAACTTTGACATTAGTTCACATTTTACAATAGATATATCCATGTTCATAACAGAATGAGTAAGAATTTTACCAATAAGTTGCTTTGACTTTTTCTTTTGGGTTATCCTAGGTAATTTACACTATGTATAATAATTACACTTGTGTGCACCTGTACCTGTACTAATGAACACTTGTCGATGCTCAGTAATAGCCCATATGAAGACAGAAACATGTGCTTTACCTGGAGTTTACCTGGAGAGAGTTCCGGGGGTCAACGCCCCCACAGCCCAGTCTGTGACCAAGCCTCATGGTGGATCAGGGCCTGATCAACCAGGCTGTTACTGCTGGCTGCACGCAATCCAACGTATGAACCACAGCCTGGCTGGTCAGGTACTCACTTTAGGTGCTCGTCCAGTGCCAGCTTGAAGACAGCCAGAGGTCTATTGTTAATCTCCCTTATGTATGCTGGGAGGCAGTTGAACAGTCTTGGGCTCCTGACACTTATTGTGTTGTCTCCTGACATGCTAGTGGCACCCCTGCTTTTCATTGGGGGGATGTTGCATCATCTGCCGAGTCTTTTGCTTTCGTAAGGAGTGATTTTCGTGTGCAAGTTTGGTACTAGTCCCTCTAGGATTTTCCAGGTGTATATAATCATGTATCTCTCCTACCTGTGTTCCAGGGAATACAGGTTCAGGTACTTCAAGCGTTCCCAGTAATTGAGGTACTTTATCTCAGTTATGCGCGCCGTGAAGGTTCTCTGTACATTTTCTAGTTCAACAATTTCACCTGCCTTGAAAGGTGCTGCTAGTGTGCAGCAATATTCCAGCTTAGATAGGACAACCAACCTGAAGAGTGTCATCATGGGCTTGGCATCCCTAGTTTTGAAAATTCTCATTATCCATCCTGTCATTTTTCTAGCAGATGCGATTGATATGATGTTATGGTCCTTGAAGGTGAGACCCTCCAACATGATCACTCCCAGATCTTTAATGTTAGTTTTTTGCTCTATTGTGTGGTTGGAATTTGTTTTATACTCTGATGAAGTTTTAATTTCCTCACATTTACCAAATTGGAGTAATTGAAATTTCTCATCGTTGAACTTCATATTGTTTTCTGCAGCCCATTGAAAGATTTGGTTGACGTCTGCCTGGAGCCTTGCAGTGTCTTCAGTGGCAGATACTGTCATGCAGATTTGGGTGTCATATGCAAAAGAAGACATGGCACTGTGGCTTATGTCCCTGTCTGTCTGATATGAGGATGAGCAACAAGATGGGAGCGAGTACTGTGCCTTGCGGAACACAGCTTTTCACCGTAGCCGCCTCAGACTGTACTCTGTTGACTATCTACTCTTTGTGTTCTATTTGTCAGGAAATTATAGATCCATCTACCAACTTTTCCTGTTATTCCTTTGGCACTCATTTTGTGCGCTATTACACCAAGGTTACACTTGTCGAAGGCTTTTGCAAAGTCTGTGTATATTACATCTGCATTCTTTTTGTCTTCTAGTACATCCAGGACCTTGTCGTAGTGATCCATTGGTATGTAAATTTTGACCCTCAGCTGGAGACTTTCAATCAGTCAGTGAATTTTATTTCTTTGCAAGAACTACATTGAGATTATGCATTTACAATAATGAGTTGCAGTGCAAAGAGAGCCTCTTATCATGCCTAGGCATTATGGGCAGACTTAATGGCTTACTGATTACTTAATACTAAAGAATTTATCATTTTTTAAGTTGTACAATAGTTTCAATAGTAAATGTTTTGAAGAGGACTCCAGTTGAGGGTCAAAATACACAGACAATTTTTTTCCTTGTTTCTTTCTCCGTGTTTGTTATTACTTAGCAAATAAGAATTTTTTGTGAAAATATTTATTTTGGGAGATAGTGGTGGAAATAATGCATTTTTTGTTGTGGTTGCGCACCACATCTCGGCCAGTCAAAGTTTAGTATTGTATGGGGTCACATGGCTGGTCTAATATAAACAATGACAGAGTAAGGTTAAATTATGTTTGGTTATTTTAGGTTAGGTTGGTTGGGTTTTTGTTAGGTTACTATTTTTTTTTTTTTTTTACTGTTTGTACAGAAAATACCTCTTCTGTGAAACACAATATTGAATAATTTTTTTTCTGCAGGTGGTTTTGCCTATGTATATGTTGCACAAGACATTAGTAGTGGGAAGACCTATGCTCTGAAGGTATGGATTATTTATTTTTCAATGTCTGTACTCTGATGAATGAATGGGGATGTTGAAGTTTGAGGATTATCTGAATCATGATGTTTGTGCATTTTCCTAGCCACAGGCTATTCTTTCCCACAAAAACTTCATTCCCAACCAAATCCTTCCCCCTCCCTACCAAATTCTTCCCTCCTCTCCACAAAATTCTTCCCTCCCTCCCCCAAATTCTTCCCCCTCCTCACCAAACTCTTCCCTTCACCACCAAATTCTTTCCTTCTCCACAAAATTTTCTTCCCCACCAAATTTCCCCTTAGAATCCAATTCTTCCCTTCTCTACTAAATAGTTATTCCCGTTCTCTCTGCTCTTCCTCCCACCCACTACTACTACTGTACTAATAAAACTTATTCTAGTTATCCATGTTGAAATTCAGGTTATTTTTTATTATCACACTGGCCGATTCCCACCAAGGCAGGGTGGCCCGAAAAAGAAAAACTTTCACCATCATTCACTCCATCACTGTCTTGCCAGAAGGGTGCTTTACACTACAGTTTTTAAACTGCAACATTAACACCCCTCCTTCAGAGTGCAGGCACTGTACTTCCCATCTCCAGGACTCAAGTCCGGCCTGCCGGTTTCCCTGAATCCCTTCATAAATGTTACTTTGCTCACACTCCAACAGCACGTCAAGTATTAAAAACCATTTGTCTCCATTCACTCCTATCAAACACGCTCATGCATGCCTCCTGGAAGTCCAAGCCCCTCGCACACAAAACCTCCTTTACCCCCTCCCTCCAACCTTTCCTAAGCCGACCCCTACCCCGCCTTCCTTCCACTACAGACTGATACACTCTTGAAGTCATTCTGTTTCGCTCCATTCTCTCTACATGTCCGAACCACCTCAACAACCCTTCCTCAGCCCTCTGGACAACAGTTTTGGTAATCCCGCACCTCCTCCTAACTTCCAAACTACGAATTCTCTGCATTATATTCACACCACACATTGCCCTCAGACATGACATCTCCACTGCCTCCAGCCTTCTCCTCGCTGCAACATTCATCACCCACGCTTCACACCCATATAAGAGCGTTGGTAAAACTATACTCTCATACATTCCCCTCTTTGCCTCCAAGGACAAAGTTCTTTGTCTCCACAGACTCCTAAGTGCACCACTCACTCTTTTTCCCTCATCAATTCTGATTCACCTCATCTTTCATAGACCCATCCGCTGACACGTCCACTCCCAAATATCTGAATACGTTCACCTCCTCCATACTCTCTCCCTCCAATCTGATATTCACTCTTTCATCACCTAATCTTTTTGTTATCCTCATAACCTTACTCTTTCCTGTATTCACCTTTAATTTTCTTCTTTTGCACACCCTACCAAATTCATCCACCAATCTCTGCAACTTCTCTTCAGAATCTCCCAAGAGCACAGTGTCATCAGCAAAGAGCAGCTGTGACAACTCCCACTTTGTGTGTGATTCTTTATCTTTTAACTCCACGCCTCTTGCCAAGACCCTCGCATTTACTTCTCTTACAACCCCATCTATAAATATATTAAACAACCACGGTGACATCACACATCCTTGTCTAAGGCCTACTTTTACAGGGAAAAAATTTCCCTCTTTCCTACATACTCTAACTTGAGCCTCACTATCCTCGTAAAAACTCTTCACTGCTTTCAATAACCTACCTCCTACACCATACACTTGCAACATCTGCCACATTGCCCCCCTATCCACCCTGTCATACGCCTTTTCCAAATCCATAAATGCCACAAAGACCTCTTTAGCCTTATCTAAATACTGTTCACTTATATGTTTCACTGTAAACACCTGGTCCACACACCCCCTACCTTTCCTAAAGCCTCCTTGTTCATCTGCTATCCTATTCTCCGTCTTACTCTTAATTCTTTCAATTATAACTCTACCATACACTTTACCAGGTACACTCAACAGACTTATCCCCCTATAATTTTTGCACTCTCTTTTATCCCCTTTGCCTTTATACAAAGGAACTATGCATGCTCTCTGCCAATCCCTAGGTACCTTACCCTCTTCCATACATTTATTAAATAATTGCACCAACCACTCCAAAACTATATCCCCACCTGCTTTTAACATTTCTATCTTTATCCCATCAATCCCGGCTGCCTTACCCCCTTTCATTTTGCCTACTGCCTCACGAACTTCCCCCAGGTATTAATGGAATGTCTGAAGTGTGTTACATTCATGAAGAAATGTTAATTACTTATAAAATAGACCATTTTGTAATTTCTTTTAAGAAAATTTTGTATCATGCCACAAATATTGCTTGGATCAGAATGAAATTTGATTTTTAAGATGACTAATAACCCCCACATCCTTACATTCAGTTTTTTCTTTAATTCTAAAATTGGTTCCTAATCTTTAAATAATCAAACTGATGCAACATTTTTACATAGCCCTTGAAGAAATAGTGTAATCATTTAAAGTCATATCATTTTTCTAGCGGCTGTTGGGTGCAGATCAGGTTGCCTGTGACTCCATTCGCCAAGAAATTTCGGTATCTAAGCAGCTATCAGGACATCCCTACATTGTGGAGTTCATAGCAGCAGCAGCCATAGATAAGACTCAGAGCAAAGAGAATCGAAATGAATTCCTCCTCCTAAGTGAATTATGCACAGGTTAGTTTATTAGTATGAATACTCTACAGTATAATACTCAATTGGTATAACATATCTTCATTTTAAATGTGAATCTTGAACATAAAGATTTTTACAAGCTATATTCATACAAGGATGACAATGCACTCTTCTCTTTTGATAGAAGGAAGAAGGAAGATAATATACATTTCAGGAGCATGATAAAATATTGTTTAAAAAGTTTAATTGATGAAAATCGCACAACTCATCAGTAATCACATAAGAGGGCTCTTACAGTGCTGACTTTAATGCCTATCATTGACTTTTTAATTTAGTTGCTTTCTTTTGGTCATTGACAACTCAAACACTGGTCAGAAAATGAGACTTTAGTATACTAAAAACAGTTACTGTACATAGCTCTAGGATACTACAAGTCTTGCAGCATTGAATGGCAAGTCACAACAAGATATACTTTTTTTTTTTTTTTGAATAAACAGCATTTGTCTAAGCCTGACTATGGTTTGTAGTTGTGTAATGTGTGATGTGGTTGACTATCTACTTCACACCAGGCAGGCTCCAGTGATTATTGTACTGTAATGTACTACAGTTTCCAGGTGCCACCTTGCACAACTCTTGCTTTATAATGATACATTAGCCCATGAATTTAAATGGGTAATTACACTCACTAGGTGCTTAATTATCAGGCTAAACAGTGACATAATCGTTAAGGTCAGCACCAGATTCTATAAGGACAAAAACTATTGAATCAGTAGCATAACATGAGGTGCAGTGACCACAACACCCACTCAGTAACCAGAGCAGTAGACTAGCTGCTGCCATAGGTGGCACATTACCCAGAACTGCCTGTGAGGGGCAGTGTGATCACTTACTGTAAATAACAAATTGAGGAGAACTGTTAGCTAGAAAAAAAAAATTGGCCAGACAGGAGCTGTGGTTCTTTAATAATTTAATCTCCATCGTGATGTGCACATGATCTAACCTTAAGATCTCTAATATATATTTTTTGTTACATTTTAAATGCACACTGTTTGGACACACAAGAAAATTGTTAAGATCTTGTACAGTACTTAAAACTCCACACCCACATGCCACAAGATAGTGAATATGCATCATTTATGGAATTTTTATTTGTGCATATTTTTTAAAGACCAGAGTTATTTCACATAGCCTCCAGCTTGTAGAATGATTGTCGATGATAAATTTTGAACATGGTTTGCTTTCGTGTACAGTATATCAATTTGTATGTTAATGACCGTATCTAATATTGCAGGAGGTTCACTTGTGGATGCGTTGCGAATTCTTGAGGGAAAATCATTATCAGTGAGTCAGGTGTGCACAATTATGTATCAGACTACAAAAGCCGTCCAGCATATGCAGGCAAGTGCATTGATCTGTTTGACTAATATAATTTTTTAAGATATAGGCAACATAGTTTTTTTTTAACTAAAAAATGGTCATCTTTCATATTTGCTATATGTGTAGCTACATCCTTTTATTTGTGTTTTATGAAAAATGTAAGTCAGTTAAGCAATGTTATTTAATAGAAGTTGAGATATATTTGTACATCTTTTCTCATATAAGGAACACTCTCAACACACCCACACTCCTCCAAAACACAATACACACTTCTGGCAAAACACATGTTGAATGAGTAATAGGAATGCATTTCCTGTTTGGGTCACCCTACCTTACCAGGAGATGGCTTATGTAGTAAAACAAACAAAAAAGGACAAATTGGTAATTGTACAAATATAAACACATACGATAATGAACATTCATATACATTTCCAAAATTTTTTATTTGTGCGTTCTTGTATAATGAAAAGGAAAATTATTTATAAAATTCAGAAGAGTAAATTCTCTAAATATTAAATGGGTAATGAAGTAAACACCTATCATATTCCAATAGGCTCAAAATCCTCCTGTCACTCATCGGGACCTGAAAGTGGAGAATTTGCTCATTAGTGAATCTGGTCATATCAAACTATGTGACTTTGGTTCATCAATGACAACGACTTATTCAGTTGATCTAGGATGGAGTGCACATCAACGAGCAATGCTGGAAGATGAGGTAAAGTAATGACTTTCTTTATAGTTTTTGTACATAAAAAAGAGGATTAAAAATGAAATGTGTATTTTTGTCACCTTGCTGGTGACATTTTTTCACTAGATCATTTTTTTTCTCTTATCTCTTTTTGTATTTTCATTTCAGAAAAAATATTTCATTCACTGTATGGGCATAGCTTGCCATTTATTCTTTCTATTTTTATGGTTTCCAGATTAGTCTTTTGTGAGAAACTTGTTTGAAAGCTTTCTTGAAATCTAAATAGACACAATCTGTTCATCCATTTATTTCGTGAATAATTTTTGTGATCATCATGTGTTTGTATGTGTAATGAGTCAGGACATGTGTAAGGAAATACCACTGCAGGCATTCCTCAGATCATGATATTTGATCTCAGTTAATAACTTAACTTAGCTATAGAGAATGTGCAAGGTAAATTTACTGAACATGTTGCAGATGGCAAAACACACCACACCAATGTATCGTGCTCCAGAGATGCTAGATACATGGAATAACTATGCCATTAATGGTCAAGCGGATGTCTGGGCTCTGGGGTGTATCCTTTACTACTTATGTTATCTTAAACATCCTTTTGAGGATTCTGCTAAGTTAAGGTAAGTTTATATTTTGCTAAATATGGTCAAGTTAACTTCCTCTACAAATGTAGCATATAATCTTTACTTTTTTTATACTTTTAACACAAAAATAATCTTTGCGATGATCTTTAATGATACTGACTTGTTAGATAAGTTCTCATCCTTTTACCACTTGCAGAATTATCCTTGCTAAACTAGACTCTTGTTATGGTTTAATTTGAATACATGTGTTAATATTTTTACTAAAATATCTATCTTTTTGAGATATTAATTGCCCAGTCAAATTTGCACCTTCAAAAAGCTATTTTGTTAATAAACAGCATCACTGATGCCCAGAGACGTTCAGATATTAGGCCTGACACTTGAAGTTAGTTTATTTGACACCAACTATTTTTTCACACATTTAACTAATAAATTAAAATAAAGTGGTACCCTGAGTTTTGTACAGCTCCCAACATGAACAATTATGTAAGTGTATTATTGTAAGTGCTTTTGTAAGTGTATTTTTGAGGGTCTGAAACGGACTAATCTAGTTTACATTATTCCTTACGGGAACAAATTCGTTTGGTAACGGCACTTGAACAGCCTTCTGGAGCAAATTATGGCCGAAACTTGGGGTACCACTGTAATATATTACAACATTCATATACCTGTTAATTTATTTTATTTGCAGAATTGTGAATGGAAATTTTGCCATTCCTCCTAATGATGGCAAATATGAATGCTTTCATGAACTCATAAGAGGTATGCTTAAAGTGGACCCAAACCAGAGATTTAAGGTATCAGATATCTTGGAAAGATTGGCTGCCATTGCAGAGACCAAGGGTTTCGACATGAAGGTCCCATTAACTATAAAATGCAAGAAAATTGATTTAATATCCCCAGGTTGGTGTAATTCCTTTCTCTGTATCTCAAATAGATTTTGCTTATACATGTATTAAAATATTTTACATTGATTGTGTTTATTGAAAAGATGTTAAAATATTGTATTAGGGAATATAGCAGGAATGGTAGAAGAAAGTGAGTTTAATAATTGTATGATCAGTATGCTTGTAACATTAAAGAGAGACCTTTTAGCACTTGGTAAGATTTCTTAGGGATTATATTCTATATACAGTCAGCTTTCTTATAAAGTTCTTCTATATAAATAGCACTACTGCCATTGCATAGTAGCTATTACTAGCCAGATATCAACCCTGCATTTCCACTCATCACTGGGAATAGACTCTACCCAAAATGCTGGTTAAGTTTCACCAGCTTCCATGTATGAGCTACCTTCTTCCTTTTCCTGTACTACTATAATTGTTTCTCCTTAAATTTCTTGTATTTGCTGAAGATAACTAGGTGGATGTCAAAATAAAAAAAAAAAAAAATTATTGCTCATGTTTCTGTCTCCTTGTATTTATTTATTTCTTACTATTAGACATGGTGGGGCTAGTAACCCCTTCTGTATAAATTACTAAATTTGAAAAGAGAAACTTTTGTTTTTCTTTTTGGGCCACCCTGCCTCAGTGGGATATGGCTGGTTTGTTGAAAGAAGAAAGAAAGATTAGACATGGTAAATATCTTTAATGGTATGTAGTAAGTTCTCGCAAATTTTGAATTATCTAATTAACTTTTTTCTTTTATTCAGAAAATAAATTCTAGAGTTATAATTTTTGAAAGCTGGAAACTTTTTAAAAAGCAAACATTTAAAATTCGTTTGAATAATTTTTAATTTCTCTGTGAATTAGTAACATGATGCTTCCTAACTTGTTCTCATTTAGAGAGATACAAGGTGAGTTCATAAAGTTTGCTTAGGTGTTACAAACTTACATGGGTGAGAGATTGCTGTCTGTGAATCTGCAACACTATGTCTCTTGAAATAATCTTATGTTCTCCATCCTTCCCACTTCATCCCCTCGCATTCCTTTCCATAACTGGGTTATATTAAAATAATGGTGGTGTTTGAGAGGTTTGTATAAAGGATGGTTATACCATGCATGTTTTTACCTACACAGGGATATTTGTAAAGTATTTATTTTTATTTATTTTTTTTTTTAAAGACTTGGGTTGTAAGTGAGGATGTTTGTAATTCAGGTCTTCGATAACTGGGAACATTGTGTATATACACTAAATTGAAGCATAGAGTAAGGTGGAATTTGCTCCATATTAACATGGATTGATGACAGAGGGCTAAACCTCAGTTTGTTACTGTGAAGTGATACACAAGTTGAAAACACTCATTGTTTTAAACACCACCACTGCTAACCACCATTATCAATAGAAATTTGTTCTTGTTGGATTTGTCTGTCACAGTAATAGCTTGTCAGTTTTCAGAATGTGTGGCTGCATTTTTTTTTTTTTTTTTTCTCAACAAGTCGATCGTCTCCCACCGAGGCAGGGTGACCCAAAAAAGAAAAAAAATCCCCAAAAAGAAAATACTTTCATCATCATTCAACACTTTCACCACACTCACACATTATCACTGCTTTTGCAGAGGTGCTCAGAATACAACAGTTTAGAAGCATATACGTATAAAGATACACAACATATCCCTCCAAACTGCCAATATCCCAAACCCCTCCTTTAAAGTGCAGGCATTGTACTTCCCATTTCCAGGACTCAAGTCCGACTATATGAAAATAACCGGTTTCCCTGAATCCCTTCACTAAATATTACCCTGCTCACACTCCAACAGATCGTCAGGTCCCAAGTACCATTCGTCTCCATTCACTCCTATCTAACACGCTCACGCACGCTTGCTGGAAGTCCAAGCCCCTTGCCCACAAAACCTCCTTTACCCCCTCTCTCCAACCCTTTCGAGGACGACCCCTACCCCGCCTTCCTTCCCCTATAGATTTATATGCTTTCCATGTCATTCTACTTTGATCCATTCTCTCTAAATGACCAAACCACCTCAACAACCCCTGAATCCCTTCACTAAATATTACCCTGCTCACACTCCAACAGATCGTCAGGTCCCAAGTATCATTCGTCTCCATTCACTCCTATCTAACACGCTCACGCATGCTTGCTGGAGGTCCAGCCCTCGCCACAAAACCTCCTTACCCCCTCTTTCCAACCCTTTCGAGGACGACCCCTACCCCTCTTTCCTTCCCTATAGATTTATATGCTTCCATGTCATTCTACTTTGATCCATTCTCTCTAAATGACCAAAACCACCTCAACAACCCTCTTCTGCCCTCTGACTAATGCTTTTATTAACTCCACACCTTCTCCTAATTTCCACACTCCGAATTTTCTGCATAATATTTACACCACACATTGCCCTTAAACAGGACATCTCCACTGCCTCCAACCGTCTCCTCGCTGCTGCATTTACCACCCAAGCTTCACACCCCTATACTTTCATACATTCCCTTCTTTGCCTCCATAGATAACGTTTTTTGACTCCACATATACCTCAACGCACCACTCACCTTTTTTCCCTCATCAATTCTATGATTAACCTCATCCTTCATAAATCCATCCACCGACACGTCAACTCCCAAGTACATGTATCTGAAAACATTCACTTCTTCCATACTCCTCCTCCCCAATTTGATATCCAATTTTTCTTTATCTAAATCATTTGATACCCTCATCACCTTACTCTTTTCTATGTTCACTTTCAACTTTCTACCTTTACACACATTCTCAAACTCATCCACTAACCTTTGCAATTTTTCTTTAGAATCTCCCATAAGCACAGTATCATCAACAAAAAGTAACTGTGTCAATTCCCATTTTGAATTTGATTCCCCATAATTTAATCCCACCCCTCTCCCGAACACCCTAGCATTTACTTCTTTTACAACCCCATCTATAAATATATTAAGCAACCATGGTGACATTACACATCCCTGTCTAAGACCTACTTTTACCGGGAAGTATTCTCCCTATCTTCTACACACCCTAACCTGAGCCTCACTATCCTCATAAAAGCTCTTTACAGCATTTAGTAACTTACCACCTATTCCATATACTTGCAACATCTGCCTGGCTGCATTTATTGTTATGAAAGAGAAAGCAGTGTATATGAGAATCACAAGATCAGTGAATGAATTATTCCACATGTATGGAAAGAACCTAGTATCTGGGTGCCTTTGCAAAGACAGTGATTATATGTGAATGATGGTGAAAGTGTTTCTTTCTTCTTTGGGTCACCCTGCCTCAATGGGAGACAGCCAACGTGTTGAAAAAAAAAAAAGCTGTGGAAAGAGCAAAGAACTCAAAAAGGGGCACTTCGTACAAAATACAGGAGATCATTGAACAGAATGACAAGAGCATGAAAAGTTGGGAGTAATGTTAGTTGACATATCTTTTAAAGAACAATAAGGCAAATCTGTATTATAAAAGCCAGAAGAATGACGGGGTGGGTATGAAAACTTTGGAAACAAGGGAAGTAATGCTAATGATGGCACCATTCAAATTGGTGTTACAGGAAGGTGTTTGGATGGTTCATGTAAGTGTGTGTTTTTGGTGGGCTATTCTCTCTCACTTAGAGTACTGTTCATCTCTTTCACTTAGAGTACTGTTCAGTGTTAATGGCAGTGTTCAAAGTAGGGAAGATATTCGAGTTGAAACAGATACATTACTTGGAACACAAAGTCCTCAGTATGTACTCTGGAGTAGAGTAGAGGAGAGAGAGAGAGAGAGAGAATATTTTTTTTTCGACAAGCTGACCATGTCCCACCGAGGCAGGGTGACCCAAAAAGAAAAATGAAAGATTTTCTTTCAACATTTAGTAATGTATACAGGAGAAGGGGTTACTAACCCCTTTCTCCCAGCATTTTAGTTGCCTCTTATGACACGCGTGGCTTACGGAGAAAGAATTCTTTTCCACTTCCCCATGGAGAAGAGAATGGTAATATATTTGTGTAATGTATTTGAGGGCATAGTTACAAATCTATACACAAATCATAACTTGCTGGAGGAAGAAATGTGGAAGGATAAGCAGGGACACCATGGGCACAATAAGAGAATTTTATCTCAAGTCCTGTGAACCCATGATAAGTAAGGGTATCATGGGCACAATAAGAGAATACTGTTTCAACATCTGTAGACCCAGGCTATACAACATTCTCCCAGAATATGTCAGAAACACTACTGGAACAAGTGTAGAAATCTTCAAGAGGAATTTCAACAAGTACCTCTGCCAAGTGCCAGATCAACCAGGTTGTGATGAATATGTGGGTCATCAAGCCATCAGCAATAGCTTGGTTGACCAGACAAGCCTAGCCCAAGGGGTAGGAAAACTCAAAAGTGATTACAGTTATATCATTGGAAATGGTATGTCATATAAGTGAGAACCAACAGCTTGAAGAAATCATTCTTAATTCCCTTTGAGCCTTAGTATATATGACCTTGTTGTTTCTAGAGATGGTATTGCAACCATTTCAATCCCGTTGACTTGCATTGCCTTTGTCAAGACGGTGATAGTATGAATGATGGTGAATGTGTTTCTTTTTCGGGTCACCCTGTCTCAGTGGGAGCCGGCCAGTGTGCTAAAAATAATTCTTCTAGTTTTAAAAGTATCAAATACCAATTTTTTATCCTTTCTATTTATTAATGCAAGTGCTGCTTATAATTTGTTATTCTCTGATTATAAATACCAGTGCAGCAGCTTGAAAGTAATGGCAGGGTTAGTGACAGGCGCTCGGCTGTTCCTGACCGTCCCCCTGCCCGTCCCCCTGTTCCACGATCTCCTTTACCTCAGCGACCGCCACCTCCAGGTTCTCAACCCCAGCAAGGTATGAACAGGTTTTATTTGGCAAGTCTGTGTGTAGTACGATAAATACATAATGAATGGGTTACATTCCTGATAATCAGCATGTTACAGTATGTAAAGTAGCATAATATGAAGAACATATAGAATTAGGGTTAGGTTACATTTCAGACACTTCCAAATTTTCAAATCATATTCTTTTTACTGTTGTACTAGTTAGAAATTGATATATTCTTTTTGTTGTTACCTGAATCATTCGAAGAATGTGGTTAGGGTTATAGCATGGATCTACTGAGCTTAATTGAATATAGTGTGGTCAATCAGTTGCTACATACTCAGTACATGTCAACATTGTTAAAGTTACTCATATTTCCTTAAAAGATTTTATGAAACAAATAGGAACTCACCATACCTATACTAAACAAACCTATATCAAAGATTCTGTAAATCCATTTGATAAAGCCAGAGGGAAAACATTAATATGCAAATGTGGGAGGCAATACCAGCTTTGCCTCTCAGTATCTCAACATTGTAAAAAAATAAAAACCATATTTCCTTACCAAATAGTACAAAACAAATAGGAACTCACCACACTATATACCAAACATATGTATATTAAAGATGAATGCAATTGAAAAGTAATAACCTAGAGTAATAAAGCAGTACTGTAATGAATATGGTGTGGGAGGCTGTGTCCAGTCATGGAGACAACTGCCAACTCTGGTTTTGGCTCCCAGCCACATTGTGGGGACTGCTGATTTCTGTATCTAACTCTGCAAATATACATCTGAATTGTCTGTAAATCTTTAATTTCTTAAGATTTATGCATGAGAGGCTGATAATGTCATATTTAGTGGAGGAGGAAGTGAGGAGTTGGCTGTACCACACACTTGGCTGAAGTGAGATTAAAGTCAGCATGGTATTTGCGTGCCTTCGACATCTCTCAAAGCGCAGTAGTACTCTTCTGTTGATAATATAAGTCAACTAATTAGGCTAGGTTATGTAAGAGCAAAGGTGTATATTTTCAAGTAAAAGTGGGTTTTAGTTTGGGATGTGTCATGATACCAGCATTGTTTAATGTTTTTTGTAATATATATATAGTTGCAGAAAAAGTTAATGCTAGTGTATTGTGAAAAAGTGTGCATTTAAAAGTGCAGTATTTAAGAGAGAAATACAGTGGATTCATAATTAACTTGTATACATATAAGTTCTTAGCTGCCAATCAAAACTATTCAGATATGAAAACAGTCAGTTGCACAGTTTTAGACTCAGAAGGAGGAAAAAAATGGTAGGGAAAAAAAAAAACATTTTACTGTTTTCCACCTTTTAAGTAAAACCTCTGAAAAATTACTATGATAGAAATAATCATATACAGTGGAATCCCGAATATCGGTTACTGCGCTTATTGGCCGATTCGTATTTAGGCCGGTTTTTGGGCAGAAATTTTGCTCCGTATTTCAACCGGTGCCTCGTAAATCGTCCGTATCAATACGCATCAGCCTGCCTCCCACCGAGATGCCACGCGTAAGCGAGTCAGTCTCCATGTCTCTCTTGGTGAATGAGAATGTACTCCGTGCATTCGTCCAAACATTTATGTAAAATCCATTGTTTTTTGTGGTTCTTTATTAAGTGCAACTGTGAAATAAGCTACCATGGTCCCAGAGAAAGTTCAGAGTGCCAGCCCTTTGGTAAAGAAAGTGAGAAACACATTGGAATTTAAGAAAGAAGTTATTGAAAAGTATGAGAGTGGTGTTCAAGTGCTAGAACCTCCCAGGATGTATGGGAAATCCAAATCAACAATCACTTCCATCCTGGCAAAGAAAGTAGAAATCAGGGAAGCTAATGTTGCAAAAGGGAGTTTAGCAGGGAGGCAGGGAGTGTAGCAGGCATGCAGGGAGTGTAGTAGGTATGCAGGGAGTGTAGCAGGCATGCAGGGAGTGTAGCAGGCCTGTAGGGAGTGTAGCAGGGAGGCAGGGAGTGTATCAGGCATGCAGGGAGTGTATCAGGCATGCAGGGAGTGTAGCATGGAGGGAGGGAGTGTAGCATGGAGGGAGGGAGTGCAACAGGGAGGCAAGGGGTGCAGCAGGGAAACAGTGAGTGTGGAAGGGAGGCAGGGAGTGTAGCAGGCATGCAGGGAGTGTAGCAAGCAGGGAGGGAAGTAACCCCAGAGAGGGCTTGATACCTGAAGTCCTTATGGAGGGGGATTACCCTTCCAAACACTATTCAATCCTCCCTCTCTCCTCCTCCCTGTCTTCCATAAGCCAACAAGAGTCTTCAATAAAGGTATGTAATAGTGATTTAAATGTTCGTTTATTTATTTTATTTAGTTCTCATTGTTTTGTGTATGTAAAACTATAATTAATCATTAAAAAATGTATTTTTTTTTTATATTATTATTATTATTATTTTTGGGTGTGTGGAACAGATTAATTGTAGTTACATTAATTCTTATGGGAAATATTGCTTCAAATTTAGGCCAACCTTCTGGAACGGATTACGGCTGATATTCAGGGTTCCACTGTAATTGGTTTACGCCCATTTAAAAAGACATATACTGTATAGATAAATTAGTTTAATGTATGTGACTGATCTTTTAACAATATCTAACATCCAGTATTTGCTGCTGTTCACTACCTTCCCCACTGTTCATAAATTAAAGTGAAATTTTTTGTTTACTATGAAGAAATGAACCTAAATTTAGATTTTAGAAAGCAGAATTGATCATTCTTGCTATTTCTTTTAAATTATATTTTGTAAGACGATGCTTCCCTCCCAATGTCACTTGTAAAGAAGAAAAGAAGACTTGGAGAGTCATTTCATTCCATCTCCCTCTCTCTCCCTTGACTTGATGGCATTAATAATGTTGCTATGTAATTATGTTGGAAACAGTGTGTCTGCATGAAAATAAATTAATGTTCATGTGGGGGTGCCCATTAAAGAGTAAAATCTTGATACTGTTGAAAGGGCTCTTGTTTAGGAAGTTAGAGCCATCCTGGCCTTTCTTGGATTAAACTTGATTTTCTGTATACAAAGGTATGCAGCTGACAGTGAAAGGACTTGGGTGCAAAGCAAGCTTTTATTGTGACTGTTTAAAGCTTTATCAAATCTTGCATGATGTGTGCATTTTCAAAGCAGTAGCAGCTTAATAATGGAGCTCAAAGTAGAGAAAAACTTAGTCACAATAAAATCTATTTCTACACTTGTTTTTTCTTCATCACTTATTACCTTCCATTGTCCAGGTGCTGTATAACCCCTGTGGGTTTAGCACTTTTTCATCTTCTTGATAATAATAATAATAATAATAATAATAATAATAATAATAATAATAATAATAATAATAATAATAATGGTGTGTGCAAAATCTCAGTGATATAGCAAGAAGTTCAATATACAGTACAAAGACAGACTTGTCATTCTGTGTTTCAGGCATGAGTGGGCAAAATGTACAACCTCAACAACAACCAGCTGCTGGTGGTGGTGGTTTATTTTCCTCCATTAAGGGGTACTCAGGCAGTATCTTCAAGAACCTCAAGGATACATCTAGCAGAGTCATGCAGACTGTTAGCCAGTAGGTGGTATTAACATTTCTACATATTTTGTGTCTGTATTTAGCCAATTTCTCTTTCTTTCTGCTAAGCTGTGAGCTTGACTTCATACTGTGTATAAGATGCCACTGAAAAAAGATACAGTATTACATAGTTTAAATATTTATCTTGCCTTAGAGAGGACATTTATATATGTACATACAGAATTGTTTACAATTCAGTCATCCTTCTCCATGTGTAACTTCTGCTTATGTGGTTTTGGTTGCCTGCACACAGTGTGTGCAGACAATTATTTTTTGTACCAGATTAGAAAATGGAGTGGTTTTCCCTAAGGGAACTAATCATGTGCCATTACTAAACTTAATCTTGGATGTGATTGTGAAATTAGGATGCCATTTTATTAATTAAACATTGCTGCATTTTCTTTTTTGTATAATTGAAGATTTTCTCATCTTCAGGTCAATAACTCGGACAGATCTTGATCTGTCTCACATTACGTCACGTGTAATTGCTATGTCTTACCCAGCTGAGGGCTTGGAGTCGGCGTACAGAAATCATGTTGAAGATGTTAAAGGTAATATACAGTCAATAATGTAAGAGAAGGATTTTTTATTATTTTATAAAAAAAGCCATGTTATAAATATTTGCATATAAAAAGTTTTCTGGCTTTTTAAGCTAACTGGAATGAAGTGAATTAAGGATTCCTTTGGTTTCTTGGTTTCCACAAACCTTTAACCTTTCCAAGCATTGTATAAATTTTAGCTTGTGCAAATGAAGGTGAATGTTTCCACATTAATTATTGAGCTACTACTGTATTCATTCTTCTGGACTATATTAGATTACTTTTAATTAATTTTTTCATCTTTATTATTTTTTTTTTTTTTGCAGCGGTTTTGGATGGGAGGCATCCAGGCCATTATGTGATCTATAATGTATCTGGTCGTCAGTATCATTCAACAAAATTCACTTCAAGAGTGGTTGAAGGAAACTGGTCAGGCAAAAAAGCCCCAACATTAGGGGCTCTGTATAACTTGGCATGCAGTATCCATGATTATTTAGCTAAAGATCCTAAAAACGTCGTAGTAATCCACTGCATTGTGAGTACTTTAGCACCTCATAATTAATATATTACAGTGAAGGTTCAATAAATACACTTTCTCTGTATGCTGTTCCTTTATACAGAGCATGAGCCAATTAAACATACTCAAAACCTAGCTAGTGCTATGTTCCAAATTATTCTTTGAACATTGGGAAATGAGATGTAGGTGCAGTACATACTGTAATGTCTGCATTTTTTATTACATAGTTCATTGTTGAGGGATTATGAGGAGAATTGAGGCTCTACATAGTTTGTAGTTGAGAGGTTATTAGGAATTGATTAAATGAGTGATGGTGAAAGCATTCCTTTTTTGGGGTCATGCTACCTTGGTGGGAGATGGCTGGTGTAATAAAAAAAAGTTATTTTGTAAAATCTAGATAAGTTCATAAATATAATTGGGCATCTATGCTTTTGAAAAATGGCATCAGCACAATAATAGCTTCTGTATTTATTATACAAAATGAGTGAAGGTAGATATTGTATAGTTACTAACAGTACTTTGTTCTTCATTACATGATAGGATGGTAAAGCTTCAACTGCAATGCTGGTGTGTTCATTCCTTCTGGTATCTCATGCTTTCAAAAGACCTGAACAAGCACTTAGTATGTTTGCAATTAAAAGATGTCCACCTGATCTTCAGCCATCACAGTTCAGGTAAAATTCCAGTGATTTGTATCCACTGGTACTTGGGACATTGTGCAGAAGAAAAGAATAATTGTCCACTGCTGCCAATATTGAGTGACTCAGTTACTTAACCCTTTCAGGGTCCAGAGGCCAAATTTCAAAGTGCACACCAGTGTCCAAGAATTTTCAAAAAATAATTTTGCTATTTTTTCTTATGAAATGGTAGAGAATCTTTTTCTGAAGGTAATAAAACAAAAAGTATGAAATTTGATGGAAAATTGACGAAATTATGCTCTTGCAAATTTTGATGTGTCAGCGATATTTACGCATTGGCGATTTTGCTGACTTTGACTCCCATTTTAGGCCAATTACCTTATTCCAGTCGACCAGATTCTTAGCTATTTCACTGGTGTTACTTCTGTTCTAGCGATTGAGCACAAGAAATCGCCAACTCAACTGTTTCAACTACAAAATAGTGATTGGAAATTGGTAATTTGGCCAATTTAGTGCAAAGTTCAAAATATTCCAATTTCAAAATAGGGTCCAGAATAAACAATGCAGGCATTCCTGGCACTAAACTCACATTTCCTCTGTTCATTAGTTATGTTTTCAGGCTTTACAAATGAATTTCATTTTGATTTTTAATTCACATAATGAATTTTTATTCAAACCAAAAAATAGAAGATTTACTGTCATGCACTATTGTATTAACTGTATAAATAATATCAGCACATTTGTGAACGTATATTAGACCCACCAGCTGGTGTGTATTAGACGTGTGAGGTCATTTATTTACTCATGAACATCGGCAAAAATTTAACGTATCTGCTACTTTGAGCTCAGTTTCAAGCCATTTTCACTACTAAAACCAATCAAAATCATCTCTATTTCTGTAACATATCTTCCATTCTATAAAATGAGACCAAGAAATCGCAAATACAACTATAAAAATCATACGAAAAAACACTGCAAAGTTGCTGTTTTAATCGAAAATTACGGTCTCAGTTTTTTTTCTCTCATTATGCACTGTGTGCTGCAGGATTTGTTTTGTGGTGCACACATACCACATAGATGTATTCTCTCATATCTAGGCCCAAATTTACTGCTCACAGCTTATCAGAGTGAGCTGAACTCATGGCGTAGATCTACGGCACGGACCCTGAAACGGTTAATGTTTTGTCTGTTTGTGGGAATGTGAAGATATATTCTTCTGCATCTGTTAGGTTCAGAGCACCATAACAAAGTAAGATAACCAGAGCTTCAGCACTCCAGTGTCCCATGCCCCTGTTATTTCTCCATTGTTTGAATTTGGCACTGTTTCCTTTCTGCCATGCAATGCCTAATTAATAAATTAAAATATCTTTGGCCTATTTGTGTTATGTTATTCCATGCACCTCTGACAAGATATCTATTGAGTGATAGTTTTTGTTTTCCTCTTTGAGTCACCCAACGTTGGTGGGAAATGGCTGACATATTCAAATGTCATGGGAAATTTAAATTAGCTAATGTGGATTTGAGATTTGGTTGGTTGAATGAGCTGAGGCTATGAACCTTGTGTAGAAGGATTTAGAATAGCATTAATGAAATGAAAATATTTGTTACCCTTCCTAAGATTGAGTGTGTATGCCTTCCATTCCTCCAGGTGCTGTTTGATCCATATAGGTTTAGCACTTTCCCATGAAAATAATATTAATTGAATTTTAAATTAAAATCAGTATTACATAACTTTCATATTGCAAAAGAGGATTTTAACAATTTATTGAGAAAACTGCACATAAGTATTTGTTTTTTCAGCTGTTGTTTCCCTGACAATGGTGGCAAGGTTTGTATTCCCCCAACACTGGCTCACCCTACCATGGTGACAGGAATTGTCCCTAACTATCGCTTGCCCTACTATGGTAGCAGGGATTATTCCCCAACTGTGGCTTACCCTACCATGGTGGCAGGGATTGTTCCCCCAACCTTGCCTCACCCTAGTATTGTGTCAAGATTTAAGTGGCCCGAGTGCTTGAATAGAAACACAGTAATCCATTTTTGGGGGCAGGAACCTAATTATACTTCACCCTCCTTATATCATGTCTGCTTTGTAAAAACCTCTCGTATACTAACTTTTTTCTCCCTTACCACACACTTTACCACCACATTCCACCAATCACTCCCTTTCCCTCCTGCACCCACTCTCCTGTATCCACAAACTACTACTGCACTCTCTAACATTTCATTTTTAAATTTCCCATACCTCTTCAGCCTCATTACCTATGCTCTCACTAGCCCATCTTTCTCCCAGTAGTTGCTTATATTTTACCCTAATTACCTCCTCATTTAGTTTATAGACTTTCTTCTCTCTCTTACTGAAGTCATTCTCTTTGAACTCTATCTACCTCTTACTCTTACTGTAGATTCAACTGATACATCTGTTTCCCCTCTATAAACCTGCATATCCAGAAGTTTACCCATCAGCCTTTTATCCACCAGAACAAAGTTCAACAAACTGTTGTCTTTACATCCTGTATCATATCTCACATACTTATCGTCTTTCTTAAAATATGTATTACCTATTACCAAACCTCTCTCTATACAAAGTTCATTCAAAATCCCCATGCATTATCATTTTCCCAGATACCCAACTTAACTACTACTCCCTCTCTACCATTTAGGTCCCCACCATAATTACTCCTTCACTTGATTCAAAACTCCCTAAAGACTTTCTTAACATTGTCTTCTCTTGTCCAAGTGCACTAACACTTAGTATAACTTTTTGCATCTGATCCTTATTTTAATTCACATAATCCTTGAATTTGTACATTTATATTCCCTCCTTTCCTGTCATAACTGATACTTCAACATTATTGCTACTCTTTCCTTAGCTCTAACTCTTTCAGAAACAGCTGACCCAATCCCATTTTTTTTTTACCCCTTCAGCTTTGTTTTGCTAAGTGCTAGGACATCCAGCTTCTTTTCATTCATAACATTCCTAATCATCTCTTTCTTATCTGCACTACATCCACACACATTCAAACATCCCAACTTATAAAGTGTTCCTTTTTCTTATTTTTAGTAATTATTTTAAGTAATTTATAGATTTAATAGACTGGGCTATAGGGGTGTTGACCCCCAGAACACCCTCCAGGTATATAACCTAATCTTGCCCAACCTATTTAAGTTTTTTGTGTAAGAAAGTGAACAGTGTAAAATGACAATAAGTTGAAGTGATCATAAATCATTTTGTTTTTTAATTATTCTTCCTTACTAAGAAATGACTAATTAATTATTGAAATAACCATTCTTTGTACAGGTCATAATTGTACAATGCCACTTCTTTGTTTTATTACTAGAAGGAAGTACAGTAGTGTATAATTTCAGGTATCTTGAGTATATCCGTGATCTGGTGTCCTCTCCACCAACACTGCCACATTTTAAGCCCATGACCCTGACATCAGTCATTGTGTCACCAATCCCATTCTTTACACAGAGAAGGTAAGCTGTATTTCTCTATCACCACTTCTGCTATAATAAAGTTCATTAAATTTTCTGTACTTTTTTTTCCTCTGGGTTTATTACTGTATAAACATGCTTAGAATCCAGAGATATACGTACCTCCTTTGATTACCCTGATGCAATCAATCCATGCTTTTTTTTTTTTTTTGACCTGTAATTTTTGCAACTTGTATATATAATTTCAGGGATGGAGCACGTCCATATGTAGAAGTTTGGCAGGGCGACCATAAAATGCTTTCAACCTTACAAGAGTATGACCATATGAGACTGTATATGTCACAAGACAATAAGGTGAGGTCTTGGAAAGTTTCGTAATTTTGCTGGATTGAATTCATCACCTTGTGCATGCAAGTAAACAAATCATGGATGCAAGAATGCAGATGTAGACTTGGATACCCATTGTAGCAACATCAGATGAAAGGATGAATGTACTTATATTTTTTCAACAGTGAAATGGAAGAAATCTCTCATAAATCCATCATAAATCACAATGGTAAAGAGACAGGGATGCAGTAACTTGGAGACCACTTACAGTGGCCTCTCTTAAGTCACAGATAAACCTGGCAAGAGAATGTTAAAATGTAAATAGTGAGTAGGGGTATAATTTAGTTTTATATACTGTATCCTAAATTTATTTCTGGAGTACTTTATGCAAAAAAATTACATTGCAGATCATCATACCTGTCAATATACACCTGGTGGGGGATGTATGTGTATATATTTATCATGCTCGGAAGATGATGGGAAAGGTGATAGGGGTGAAGATTGCTCAGTTGCAGTTTCACACAGGCTTCATTCCAGAAGAAGATACCTCATTAAAGTTTAGTCTGTAAGTATTATTAATTATCATGATTCACCATCACTCATACCGTAGTTGTACAGTTATCATAACTCAAATGAGCCAGGTAATGTAGCATAACAGCCTCTCTCATCCAAAAAAGTGCAGGTACTGTACTTCGTATTTCCCGAGGTCAAGTAGTATCTGAAGTGAAGTATCGGCACACCTCTGGCAAGACAGTAACGGAATGAATGATGTTGAAAATGTTTCTTTTACAGGTCACCCTACCTCAGTGGGAGATGGCCAGTGTGGTTTGGTCATTTAGAGAGAATGGATCAAAGTAGAATGACATGGAAAGCATATAAATCTATAGGGGAAGGAAGGCGGGGTAGGGGTCGTCCTCGAAAGGGTTGGAGAGAGGGCGTAAAGGAGGTTTTGTGGGCAAGGGGCTTGGACTTCCAGCAAGCGTGCGTGAGCGTGTTAGATAGGAGTGAATGGAGACGAATGGTACTTGGGACCTGACGATCTGTTGGAGTGTGAGCAGGGTAATATTTAGTGAAGGGATTCAGGGAAACCGGTTATTTTCATATAGTCGGACTTGAGTCCTGGAAATGGAAGTACAATGCCTGCACTTTAAAGGAGGGGTTTGGGATATTGGCAGTTTGGAGGGATATGTTGTGTATCTTTATATGTGTATGCTTCTAGACTGTTGTATTCTGAGCACCTCTGCAAAGACAGTGATAGTGTGCGAGTGTGGTGAAAGTGTTGAATGATGATGAAAGTATTTTCTTTTTGGGGATTTTCTTTCTTTTTTTTGGGTCACCCTGCCTCGGTGGGAGACGGCCGACTTGTTGAAAAAAAAAAAAAAAAAAAAAATTATATATATATATATATATATTTTTTTTTTTTTTTTTTTTTTTTTCAACAAGTCGGCCTTCTCCCACCGAGGCAGGGTGACCCAAAAAAGAAAGAAAATCCCCAAAAAGAAAATACTTTCATCATCATTCAACACTTTCACCACACTCGCACATTATCACTGTTTTTGCAGAGGTGCTCAGAATACAACAGTCTAGAAGCATACACATATAAAGATACACAACATATCCCTCCAAACTGCCAATATCCCAAACCCCTCCTTTAAAGTGCAGGCATTGTATCTTCCCATTTCCAGGACTCAAGTCCGACTATATGAAAATAACCGGTTTCCCTGAATCCCTTCACTAAATATTACCCTGCTCACACTCCAACAGATCGTCAGGTCCCAAGTACCATTCGTCTCCATTCACTCCTATCTAACACGCTCACGCACGCTTGCTGGAAGTCCAAGCCCCTTACCCACAAAACCTCCTTTACCCCCTCTCTCCAACCCTTTCGAGGACGACCCCTACCCCGCCTTCCTTCCCCTATAGATTTATATGCTTTCCATGTCATTCTACTTTGATCCATTCTCTCTAAATGACCAAACCACCTCAACAACCCCTCCTCTGCCCTCTGACTAATACTTTTATTAACTCCACACCTTCTCCTAATTTCCACACTCCGAATTTTCTGCATAATATTTACACCACACATGCCCTTAAACAGGACAATGTGTGGTGTAAATATATATATATATATATATATATATATATATATAATATAATATATATATATATATATATATATATATATATATATAATATAAATATATATATATATATATATATAAGATACAGTAATTATCTAATTCATTTTTCATCCCAGTTCAAGATTTTTTTTACACAGTTCTTAAATTCATTGTAAAGAAATTGATTCACTGTAATTTGGTTTCACCATTAAATATTTCTGGTACCTGGAATACTGTTATATCCTGCCATGACAGTTTTTTTTTTTTTTTACTCTGCAGTGCAATGCATAGGTGATTGGTATTCCATTTTCTAAAATACTGTAAAAGATTTCATGTCAATATATCATTGTTTGCTAATAAATATATTGCTTTTTTATTAAAAAATATTTATTAGAGGGATTTTTTTTTTTTTCTCAACAAGTCGGCCGTCTCCCACCGAGGCAGGGTGACCCAAAAAAAGAAAGAAAATCCCCAAAAAGAAAATGTTTTCATCATCATTCAACACTTTCACCTCACTCACACATAATCACTGTTTTTGCAGAGGTGCTCAGAATACAACAGTTTAGAAGCATATATGTAGTATAAAGATACACAACATATCCCTCCAAACTGCCAATATCCCAAACCCCTCCTTCAAAGTGCAGGCATTGTACTTCCCATTTCCAGGACTCAAGTCCGACTATATGAAAATAACCGGTTTCCCTGAATTATTTATTTATTATCACACTGGCCGATTCCCACCAAGGCAGGGTGGCCCGAAAAAGAAAAACTTTCACCATCATTCACTCCATCACTGTCTTGCCAGAAGGGTGCTTTACACTACAGTTTTTAAACTGCAACATTAACACTCCTCCTTCAGAGTGCAGGCACTGTACTTCCCATCTCCAGGACCAAATCCGGCCCGCCGGTTTCCCCCGAATCCCTTC